TGTATGACTTTTCTATATGGTTCACTGTTTTTCTTTGTATGATGTACTTATATATTATTAAAAGAATGTGCATGAACTATAGCCTATAGGGACTGGAACAATTCGGTTTTGCGTATTCTCGTGGGAAAATTAATATAAAGGACCTTTATAGTGAGGTAGAAATTTGTTTCGAAATTTAATAAGCATAGCTGAGAGATAATATTATTCATGGAATTTCTTTAGCTTTCCATTAGATATTTGTAATTTTTTGTATAATATTAATTTAAAAACAAAAACTAGATTAGGATGGTTAGATTAAATTTTAAGAAATCTAAGACACCAAAATTATAAATTATTATCTATAATTTTTTCCTTCACCTTTTCAGTATGTTATACTTGTGTCTTATACGGTATAGGGTATAAATTTGGAACAAATCTAGTTTAGCGCCCACACAAATTTTTAATTTTTTTTTTCTGAAACCTATGTATTTTAAAAAGTTTAGAACGATGGTACAAAAATAAATTGGCACAAATCATTAGTTTTTGAGTTAAAGCCTAGCAAAAATCACGAATTTTGGTGCTTTACGCATGCGTACAACACTATTTCACCGTGCTATTGAAAATTTTCAATTTTACTTAACATTCTTTTTTATGCAATTTTTATTTGTTTTAACGTGTACTTATTTTGTTAAAAATGTTTAAAACGAACAACAAGGAAGAAACAATTTGATTGAATCTTTATAGCAAGGTGAAATTAATGGTATTTTCATATACATCTGGCGCAATTACTCGCTCCCTACGCTCACTCGGATAATTAAAATCGAAAACATCTCTCGACTTAATATGTAAAACCACTATAAGCTAGATGTATTGTATTATGAAAAAATATAAATTATAAGTGATTAACGTTGATTTGCCTAGGTTTTAAAAAAAATAATTGAAAAATTCATTAAAAGCGCAGTAAAATAGAGTATTGTACGCATGCTCAAAACACCAAAAATCGTGATTTTTGCAAGGCATTAACTTAAAAACTTATGATTTTTACTCATTTATTTTTGAACCATCGTTCTAAACTCTAAGGTTTCCGAAAAAAAAAAAAATTTAAAAATTCGCGTGGACACTAAACTATTATTTATGCCAAGAGTTTATACACTATAGATATTACCCGTTAATGGTTAATTAAGACATTAAATATAAAAAAATATTAAAATTAATCAATCAGATAAGATATCTTAATTTATTTAACACTTTTAAAATATAATAATATAGGTAAATACTACACACATGAATTTTTTATCATTCAAATATTGATGAATCAATTTCCATGTACAAGGCATATAGAACAAGAACTTTGATTGTGAATTTACTATGATACACGTAGCTACGCGGGTGGCTAATAAAAAATAATTTTTAGTAGGAACCTAATCAGAAAAATAGTTGGAAATCTTACCAAATTGAACTGATGATCTTGTAACCAGCTTAATATGTTTTTGCGTTTTAAGGTAATCATTTAAGTTCGACCGTACACCATGACTTACTGAAAATGTTCTGTGACAAATTATATACTGTACTTTGAAATTGTCAGTAGGTTTAAGTTTTTTAATAAATGATAAAGTATTTTTAGTGGCATAATCACTATGTAAAAAAAATGAACTAAATAAAATGACGACACTTAAAAGAATAAATACGTACAAAATCATTAGCAGATTTCACAATCGAATACAACCAGTATTGTCGCTTGTCGGCATATAATGCATACTGAGACTACTAGAATATAAAAAAATAAATATAATGATTATATTATTAAATGCATATTATTTTTCGTAATCGCAATTCTTGAAATTTAAAATCACAACATGGGTTTTTCTGACTGTAAATGTAATCAGAAGTTAAAGGTAGTAGGCAGTCTAAATTTAGAAAGCGTATTTATTACTGTGATTGTCATAAGTTCTGATGTTTATTATGAAATATCGTTAAAACAAATAATTTTTACGATTAGGTTTTGTTCAATAATGAAATTGATAATCGACTAATCAAGTACTTAAGTAAAAGTATTAAGAATACCCACAATTTTTAACTCCGAGATATTTGGGTATAAAATCCAAAACCAGTACAAATCGGTACCCCTAGAAACTTTGTCTGGGACGCTGGGCCATGGTTCCTAAACTGGTAACATCCCGGGAAATCCGAAACAAATGACAATCCTAAATTAGTTATAACGTATTAGAATTATTTTTTAACTTCTGAAATGTAATCTTATTCGTGCTCAAAAAAATTTAATTTGTTTTTGGATTAATACACTAGTTGTTTACATTTTCTTCATTTTTCAACTTTTCATTATCAAATACCAACCATATTAGTTTGTCTTTTTTAAAAAAAAGTCAATTTATTCAACAGAATTACACAACTTTTTTTAACTACACTTTTGAAGTGCCAGTTTCTTTATTTTTTACAAGTTTATTTGACTTTGAATCTACATCTAATTCTGATATATAAACTTTATCATCTTTTGTACTTAATATATTTTTTATTGATCTAATGTTTTGATTTTTGCAGCTGAAAAACACAAAAATTTGCATCAGGTATTAGCCTTATATATTCAAGGGTTTTTATATAATATATAACAAGATAATATAATACGTATCATATCATCTTATGGGTATTATATTATGGGACCATTTGCTAAAATTCGAAAGGTTTATAGTTAAATTGTTAGTAAAATTATTATTTGCACAAAGAAAATAATCATTTTAGAGTAATAATATTGTTTAAATACAAATAATTTGCTAAAAAAAATAACAACTCGTTATCTATGTTCTACAGATTATATAAATTTATTTTTTAATTTGACGCAAATTAAATATTGTTTGCTTATATAGGTATACCTTATCTAAACTCACCTTATCTTGGGTCATTTTTGATACAGATTAGGTAAGTACATACGCTTGCACATTTAAATGTTATTATTTTACATAGGTACTTTAAATTTGCGTTTAATATTCTAGTCTTTCAAACATATTTTTCCACTAAAATCATAAATTTATAATATTTTAGTGGATTTGAATTCAAATTTTAATGTTTTTTATACCTAGACATATATTAAATATTATATATATATATATATATATATATATATATATATATATGTATATTTTTAGTAAAAATAAGAAAAATATCAAAATCAGTAATTTTCTTATTTTAATTATATTATCTCAAATTTTTAGTTGGTAGTTAAAATGTAAAAACTTATACTATACCTACCTTTGTAAATTAAATAACATTATTGTGACAACAACCAATTAATCAGTTTTGGACAGGATGAACCAATAAATCACAATCGCGATTATATCGTCTGTAGTTGTCACAATCGTGAATCATGCATTACAATATATTATAATATACAGATATTGGTTCATAGTGTTATTGTTTAACTTTATAACTTATAAGTAAGCATACGTATTTGACCATTAACTTAATGTTATGTAGATCATTTATAAAAAATTATGATGAGTTCTGCAACACATATTCAAACCTCAGGTTTTAAAATTAAAAAGTGATTCGTAAAATTTTGAGATTTTAACGAATTTTGTAAAAATTTTAATTTTTAATACTTATGCAAAAACTTTACTTATATATTTTCAATATTTTTTTAATTTTATTAGAAATGACTTATGTGTATTATATTTTAAAACTTATTTACTCACAAGCAACAATTGCACCAAACATAATTTGAAAAAAAAAATAAAATAGAAATTATTTCAAAAACTTATAATATATAGATCGCACAAAAAATACTAAAACATGTGGAAAATTATATCATGTCTATAAGATTTTAATATAAATATTCGGTCATATTTTCAAGTATCTGCAATCAATAATTTTTTTATACAACCAAAAAAAATATATAAATTTTGGCGATGTTTAGTATCGCATTAAAAATTCTCGTTATTAATAATACTTACTTTGTTTTTCTAAATTGTTTTTAAAAGTATTGAAAAATCTCAAGTATTAAATATATTGAATTCACTTCGGGAAAATATTCTTAGAGTTTAAAATCGGAGCATTAGTACTACCCCTAAATGTGATGACAGACACAAAATAAAAAATAAATAAAAAACAACACATCATGGTACAACCAATATTATTCATCGCTTCACTCAGAATCTAAAAGATCATTTCAATACCTAATATTCCAGCTAGCGTGACTTTTAAGTTTTGAAAACTGGCTGAAATTACTTTAGTAAGTTAAGTGGTCTGTCCCTGTAATATAATTATATGTTTTAATAATATTTTTATTTACTCGTACATAATATTTAATTTAAACTGTTTCCAGCAGTTCTTAAATTAATTAAAAAGGTATGATATATAAATTTAAAAGAAAAAATTATCCTGTAAATATAATTATATTATATTAATATTATATGCTTTTAATCATAACGACAAAATATTCGTCAAGTCACACAAAATATAATTATGACAGGATGATACAAATAAATTTCTATTTTGAAAATAGTATGCAACAATTAAATTTACAAAATAATTTAACTACATACAATTCATTTAACACAAAAATTTATTATTTACAAAAATATATGTACAATATAATATATTTAAAAAAAATAGGATACTCTTTTCGAAGTATGAAATAGACATTTTGGAATTTCTTTTTTCTTCTATAATTGTATTCTATTTTACTCATAACTCATTAAGTAAAAACACGGATCTAAATCTACGTGGACAATAATATTATGGTAACATATTGAGACAAGTCAAAATTTAATAAAATAAATAAACAAACAAAAATGCAAGTATAATATATAATATAACAACTGTGTAAAGTAATATTTTGGTCGGTTTTGATTGTGGGATGAAAAAAATATGTAATTTATAAATAAAAAGACTAGTACATGAGCATGGTGTTTAAAACAATATACATATATATATATATATATATATATAATTATGTTCACTGGTTGGCGTACAAAAGCTATAAAATAATAAATAAGTATATATATATATATATATATAAAAAAAAAAAAAATAAATAAAAATGGGACACAATACTATAATATTATATGAATTGGGATTCTATGAGTGTCGTGATGAATTAACGATAAACGGAAACGGTGGTTGTGATGGGGTTGATTAAGAAAGGGTGGGAAAAGATATGGCAATCTCAAACAATATTAAAAAACAAAAATAGATGTCTTAAATCGACGAACAACGATATACCTATATTATAAGAGACATCACACGACGTATTCCGGAGATGTTTGAATTTATTTTTTTACGCGTTTAAAACTAAATAACAGATATATTCGTTTGAAATTTCGACTGAACATAATAATATATTATATTACGGAAAAATTAACAGTACCCAAATGTTAAATAAAAAATTCTCATCACGTCCATAACGTTGACTTAATGTTATAATACTTCACAATTATTGTTTCAACGATTACAACATTAATTATCCAATAAAATGGATCTTAAGCCGTTTTAATGTTGAAATTACGTAAATGTAGGTAGGTATAATAGGTAAAATATATTTATCGATTTTGTCGGGGATCTCGTTCTATATTTGTCGGTTGCCGAAGAATTTATATATTTAATATTACCTAATGTGATTGTGATATTACGTAATAATATATTATATCCGTCTAAAGAGGATGTATATCGTCGATGTGTTTTTTTACGTTAAAACACATAATAATATTACAAACATTTTTAGTCTATAATATATTATGAGCCCGTCATCTGCAGCATTGGTAGTTATACGATTATTCTATGTAATGTTTCATCGAGGGAACGTATAAATCAGTGAATAAAATGTGTACCTATACTTATCGCGTAAAACGATCGAGCGATAGAAAACATTTTTATTAAAAACAAAATTCGTAAAAATAGGTAAACCACCTCGTTCCATAAACGCACAATAGTAAAATAATAATAATAATAATAATAATAATAATAATAATAATATATACGTAAATATATATATATTAATATTTAATAATAATAATAATAACTAATAACTATTAATAATATCTTTGGGCGACGCTATGTGTTTGTGGGTGAGTGGGTGAGTGGGTGTGTCTGTGTATAAGTGTGCGTGTGTGCGTGTGTGCGTGTGTGTGTATGTGTGATGGGTCTAGGCCGAGGCCTACCTGCACCCGCACCCGAGCACTTGCATGTCCTGGTAGTTTTTGAGCACCACTTTGTTGTCCTCGTCTAGGTACAGCATGGATATGGACGCCAACTGAGTAGGCACACAACACGCTTTAGGCACGGCGGTGGGGTTCATGGAGTTGACCAACGTCTGGACGATGGCGTGGTTGGTGGAGTTGAGGTGTTCGGCCACTGGAAATGGACAGTCGCCGTGGCAATAGTAAGCGTCGTAGCCGGGCGGCGCGACGATCCAATCGTCCCAGCCGACGTCGGTGAAATCCACGTACAGCGGATGCCTCTGACAGATGTCCCGGCCGCTGCCGCCGTCCTTCCGCCGCTTGCCACCGCCGCCCCTGCCCTGTTGCTGTTGGCCGGCACCCGACGAGCGTTTCCGCCGTGGTGGGCCGACGGGACGACTGTTCTTGCCGTCGTCCGAGTACACGAGCAGCGCAGGCCTGTCGGCGGCCCGCAACTCGAACGTTTCAGGTATGGGGGCCCGGACGTTAGTGCCGCCGTCAGTGAGCGTCTCGATCAGTAGTCCGTGATTGCCGGCCATCCACCGGCCACCGTGCTGCGACCACCGCTCCAGCGCGGGCGTCACGTCCAGCGTGACCGACGCTTCTTCGTCCTGTCCCGTTGTCGCCGCATCCGGCAGGTCTACGTACTGCGAATCGAGTAACCGTAGCACTGGCTTCGACACGCCGCGGACGCCCGGTTGAACGATGTCGTGCACGAGCACTTGCACGCGGCCCGGATGTCCGACCGGCCGGTGCCGAGACGGCGTCAACCTCAACTCGGCCGCGGTTAGCCATTCGCCGTCCGGCAACGGGTCGACTGCGAACTGTAGCCTGTATTTGCGGCACTTTGGCTTTTTGGGTTCAGACTCTGTAAAAGAAAACGAAATTCGGAATGCATAAATACGTGGTATAAAATAATATTATGTAAATAATGATGACGTGTCGGTAGGTAATGCTAAAATATTACAAGAGGAGGGGGAGTTGATGAAAACAAATTATTAAGTTAATGATTTGCAGGATCGCATGTATTTATTGATTGTGAAACTTTCTATACCAATTATTTTGAATAATAATTACTAAAGAATAATTAATAACTCAATACTTTGTAACACGCATCCCTCCACTATTTCAACCTTACAAAATTAAAAGTATACATATTTAATTACTGTACAAGTGTATAACGTTTAAAACTATTCATTATTGTATACCTTCCTACTATAATCTTCATATCTCCCCCCTTCGAAAATTTGTTTTTGGAACAGACTTGTTCCTATTCTTGTATTGCATATTTGCTGCAATAGTTTAGACAGTTACACGTTTGTGTCAACTAAATAATTAAATCAAAGAATATTTATTTGCAGTTAAAATCATTCTACATATACCGAAAGTGATTGAATAAAATATAATTAGTTTTGATTGCAGTTACAGATGTATGCAAATATAATTTTAACTTCACTTATTATTTTTTAAATTAAAAGCTATATTGTTACAATGAATTATTTAATCATGTTATTAAGTTAATATTACATACTATATAGAACCTATACAGTAACTATATAATTATTCAAATTTTAAAGTTAAAAACTAATCATTTTTTAACTAGCAATATTTCTTCTCCTTCCTTTTGATAAATTATTATATTACTTTATAATGCATTATATAATATATTATGTATTATTATTATTATGCGGTTGTGAGACGAGTGAACTTAATATTTCTAACCGTTTAGAATATGAGGATCGGAGTATAAACATTATATTAAAATAAAGTATATTATAGAGAAAAATGCATTGGTCACCTCTGATTGCACGACACTACTATCAATATTTCGAAAGCTCACAAATAAAATTTTATATTCAAAAATTGAATATTATTATATATTAAAATATAAATAATCTGATTTCGACCACAAATTTAAAAAACAATAGCTTCAATTAAAGAAAAAAACAAAACTTACTACAATAAAAATTAGCTAACCTCGTTTTTTATTCAAATTAAGTGTCATATATTGCTTTTTAAAAAACTTATTTTATGAGAAAAAGAAATTAAAATTTAATGAAATTACTATAAATGTAATATAATATATCTAAAAACGCCCTGTATACAATATAATAATCGCAGTGTCATAGCTCATATGTTTGTGATTCGTTTACAATTATTATTCAATCACGTCGAAACGGAATGTGTTTTTATAACGGGACAACGGGTTAATATAAATTAATAATGTATATTTTTATATTTATTCTAATTAAATTATCTCTCAATTATTTTTGCTATGAAAGTGAACAGGGCATCACGGAAATCATTCTTTTTTGCGTATACTATATATAATATGTACTCTGCACATTACCTATATGTATAGTACCTATATACATAATGAACAATAAGTAAATCAATAAAGTTTTGTATAATTATTATAATATTTACTATTTGAATCAAATTTTAGATAAGAATAAAAAATAAAAATATTTTTTGAATATAGTATGCCACATACTAATATCGCTTATAATTTTATTTATTTCTCGGTCTAAAGTATAAAAAATCCCTTTCCATAAAGTTTAAATAATTATAGTTTTTAAACATTATTATATGAACTTATTATAATAATGACGATATACGTCTTAATGACTTGACTATTACAAGGTGATAAATAATATCAAGATACCAATCATATTTTAAAACGGGAAAGTAAAAATAATTTTATAATTTTTCATATAATTTACATAATATAGGTATACAAATTTTTAATAAAACATCTAATTTAAAAATATGATGATAGTAAGTTTATAAATAAATTTTAAATACACATTAAACTTATGTGTATTTTGGAAATCAAGGAAAAAAATATTACTCGAAAAATCTTTAAAATTGTCAGATTGTATATTTTATGTAGGTAAATTAATAATTATTTTAACGTACTTATGAATTTATTACACTTACTGGTTTTTAGTTTTATCAAAATATTAGAAACAAGATATACCTACTATACATACGATTTTTTTTATAGCTACAGTCAATTTATATTAACAAATCTAATACTTAATAAAAGTTTTCCATACAATCGATTTTTAAATTAATAACTTTAACTGTATGGTTTACTGTACGGATAAAATTATAATTTAATTTCTCAAAAAGTATCTGTGGTTAGAATTTTCATTTATTTTTCAATAAAGTAACTATGAACTTAGTTTTATGTTGTAATCGTTTTGTAACTATTATATACACACACAATACCTATCTAGTTTGTGATTTCATTATCATTTCATTAATTATAAGTTATTTGTTATAACATATTATAATATTCAAATTTATAATCATATTATTTTGTATTTGTTATTACTATTATGTTCAATTAATTTGCAGAGCCATTCTGATAGCGTTACATAAAATGCGTGTTTTTATCAAATTGTTTTTTATTTTCAAATTATTCGACCTTATTGTACCGAACATATCACACAACTGATATATACACAGACAAACTTTTTAATGTAGTGTAATATTAACAACTAAGTACATAATCGCGCAGAGTACAATATGTTTTTTCTTTAATTACCTATAAGTCACTCAATTCCAACTAACATTTAATATTAACACATTACATTTAATTAATGCATTTGCTTACACATGATATATCAAATAAAAAAAGTTTGGTTTTTAATTGAAAATATTTCGAACTAATCTAGGGAGATAACGACAATATTGATGTCGGCGGTGACTTATGAGTTACGTGATGCAAATTGCTTTGAAACAGTTGGATGATGCCAAGCCAACAAACACTATATCATCACATTTATAAAATATACTAGCTGTTCCTACACAGCGTTGCCGGTAACAAATTATATTTCCGTAGATTTACCCCTTCTTAAACTGTATTAAATATAAATAACATAGAAAATGTAGATCTAAAATTATATCTAATTATAATAATTATTCTATTTTCTGTAACTAATAGTAACCCTATAAAAAAAAATATTCAATTTCCGTTTGCCAAAATAAAATATTTTAGAGTGAGCCCATCTTTAAAATGCAATTTTTTTTTTAAATCCATTCCTAGTTGCATATCTAAAGCATTTAAAAAACCTCTATTCAAAAAATTCTATATTTATATGTTTTATAGTTTTTGAGAAGTAGCGATCAGTGAATGTATTTGGCTATTATATCTATAAATAAATATAAATTATAATACAACAAAGATTTATATTCCCAACATACATAGTTATAAATATCTTCATCTTTATAATATATGTTTATATACAAAAATTATTGAGCGTTTGTTAATATTTACTAATCTCTGGAATCGCTTATCTAATTGGTGCCAAATTTTGCAAACGTATTCCTTGAAATTTGAGAAGTGTTTATACTTTAAAACTATATTTTTAATCTATACAACAGTGTGATCACGATTTATGGTAACACTAAATATCTCAGGTGCATGACCTTGTATTGAACTGGGGTTTTCGGGAGGTGATAGGGAGCACTTAAATACATATTTTCAGACCAGTTTCAAATTTTTAGCTCACTCGGTACGCGCATGCGCAATACAACTTACTTTTTTTTAAATGGCAACCCCAGTTTTTTTCTGCAGATTCAGGTAGAGTATTTTTTTTTAAGCATTTTTTGTATCAACAGTTTTTTTCTATTTTCAAAATTGACCATGTTAGAGTAAGTCAAAATTTAGATTTATGCATAATTCGTATTTAATGAAATTTTTATTTATAACCACTGGAAATAATAAAATAAGTGCCAAATAAATGTTTAATTTACTTTATCTGTTTACAAATAATAATTTATTTTTACAATATGTTTAGTAAACTCTTATAATACGATTACAATTTAATAGTACCTAATATTAATATTAAATAAAAAATAAAATGTATTAAATACATTTATCTTATGAATTGTTCAAAATTTTCGCCATTATGTTCTAAACATGATTCAAGTCGCCTCAAAAATTCAGTCGAAGTTGCCGCCTTGATTTGTTCTTCACTTAAAATATCACATGCTGCTTGTATTTTGTTTTTTAAGTATCTGCATAAACCACAGTCTTCAAATAACCCCATAAAAAGAAATCCAATGGCGTTAAATCTGGGGATCGTGCAGGCCAAGGAATGACGCCAAAAGTTCCAATCCAGCGATTCGGAAATATCTGATCTAAATGTCGTCTAACAATAATTGCATTGTGGGCTGGTGCTCCATCTTGCTGGAAAAACATACGTTCTCGTGTGTCTAATGAAACATCATCCAACAGTCTTGGTAGTTCATTGGTTAAAAAATTAAGGTATCGTTTGCCATTAAGTGTACCATCATAAAATAACGGTCCTATTAGCTTTCCACCAACTAACCCACACCATACATTAAATACGAATTATGCATAAATCTAAATTTTGACTTACTCTAACATGGTCAATTTTGAAAATAGAAAAAAACTGTTGATACAAAAAATGCTTAAAAAAAAATACTCTACCTGAATCTGCAGAAAAAAACTGGGGTTGCCATTTAAAAAAAAGTAAGTTGTATTGCGCATGCGCGTACCGAGTGAGCTAAAAATTTGAAACTGGTCTGAAAATATGTATTTAAGTGCTCCCTATCACTTCCCGAAAACCCCAGTTCAATACAAGGTCATGCACCTGAGATATTTAGTGTTACCATAAATCGTGATCACACTGTATAGTAGGAGCGGCATTAGGAACATCGCAAACTAAATCTGACCAGTGGAAATGAAATAATTGGATTACTAAAAATATTTTTTTAATGCTGGTTTTCCGTATAGAAAAGTTATTTCATGTATTTTAATGATGATTTGGAGATTACGATGGCGTTTATCGCTTATCCCTGTTTATAATATTAGGTAGTCATAATAATATAACA